GTTTAGGGTTTCTGGTTTAGGGTTTACGGGGTCGCGATAGGTATCCTAAACATAACTCTTACATCCTGAGCCCTGAGCTGTAAGCATTAGAATAGGGTTTTGGGGTTCCTTGTAAAGGGTTCCTTATCAGGGGGTTTTACAAGGGCGACTATAAGGGTTTAGGGTATAGGGCCCAAAAGATCTAGGACATTTTCAGGTGGGAAGTTACCGTTATAGGAGCCTTATAGAAGGCCTATATACCTTATAGAAGCCTTATAGAAGCCCTATAGACCCTAAACTTCCCACCTGAAAATGTCCTAGAAAAGAATCCTGAACCTTGCGAGCCTTCTTGGCGCGAACAGGCGAAGCCTGGAGTCCCAACCGGAAGCATTGCAAACTCCCCAGAGACTCCAATATCCTTTAATTAAGGAATATACCTTAAATCTTATTAGGGATCCTACTATAATTTAAGGTATGTTCCTTAATTAAGGGATATGGAGTCTCTGCGTCCATCAACACCCTCGGATCGAAAGCCTTGGGGCGTATGCCTTCGAGTTGTGTAGCTACACTGGTGCCCCTGAGAGACTACGCATTCTCAGACGACAGTTCTGGCACCCAACACGTCAGCGAGCCCAGGGTCGAAGATCACTGCCAGGTCAGAACGGCCAAGTGCACGTTTCCACCAGAAGCCTTTCAAGGCGTCTCCAGAGCAGCGAAGGACTCGAATCAGACCTGAAAGGGGTCGACTTTTCGAAGGTTGCTCCGATTTGGGTATGGGCTTGAGGGCTTTTTGGACTGAACCTCAGGCTCCATGTCGTCTCTGCATGTTGGGAAGGTAGTGGGATATCATTGCATGCAGACCCGTTGAACAAAAAGAGATGCCGGATTCGTCGAGTCTCTGCGACAGGCACTCTCGTTCATGATTCCTACAGGTTGCAAGCGCTTCTGCTGATCTCGCGCAACTTCTGGAGAGCTCGGAAAACCCAAGAAGTGGATGGGCACCGATCCTCCACTCGTGACCGTGTTGCGTCGCTCGCTCCTTCGCCGTTGATGCGTTCCGGAATAAGTGTAGCATAGTGTTCTTTACGTCGACAGTCTGTGGGGTCAAGGGTCCAGGTGGTTGATGGTACGAGGGGAACCCAGCATCACCTTTGGCGCGGCACATTTTCTGGCCACTGTCCCATGATAGCCCCGTCTGCCCAGGACCCGAGTGCATCACAAAATCCATGCTTTGGCGCTGTTGAAAGTCATGCTCCAGCTACAGTCTCTTGCTCATTCTGGCCCTCACATCGCTCGATGTCTCGAAAGCTCTGCGGCCATGCTACGCGCCTCCTCAGAGAGCATGTGCGGTTTCTGTATAAGGTGTGTTGGAGTTTTCAGAAGTTTGCAACCTTGCTCAGGCCGCATGGGCGTGTGTGTATGTTCGGTGCGCAGCATTTGCCTGTTGCCCGGGGGCCGTACACATTTTGAGGCGTAACTCGTGCTTCCACCTCCCCGCAAGTTGTGCTCCTGACGCATTTCGTGCATTTCCGAATCCCAATTCCTACTCTCGCCCTTCTCGTGCCAGTCGTAGACGCAGTGTATTGGCCATTTTGACTCATCGCGTGTGATTCCCAATCGTTTGGGATGTACGCTGACGTGATTTATCAGTTATAAAGAAGAACTGCTCAATGCAGAAGAGGTGCAGAACAAGTAGTTCAAGCCGATCAACTTGGGTCATCCTTCTTCGTCTCGATCCTTAAACTTCGATTTCAATGGTCTCCGTGAGGACGTGGTCATGGAAGCACGTCCAGGGGCTTAGTTGTTAGTCCCTAAACCCCAAACAGTAAACCCTAAACCCTAAACTCCTAAACCCTAAACCCCAGTCAGACCAAAAAGCTACCCGTGGAGGAACTGATCAAGAAGCTCCTGCAGAAGAGCCCGGAGCAGCGGCTCTCAGCCAAGGAGGCCGGACTGCAGGCTTCCGTAGAGCATACTTTACTTATAATCAGGATAATCAAGAACTCCAAAACCTTATTCTAGTTATTAAGGCCCCTATATTAGGGCCTAAAGCGGACCTGGTAAGTAGGGGTATAAGGAAGGGTGGGTTTCCCTGCAAGTACTCGCAGGCCCTTTTGCTTGAGGTAGCTGTTCTTTCTCGGTTGCCTGCCACCGGTACATATCGCCGTCGTAATCCCTCCAAGTGGAATTCAGGTGCATTCAATTTTATTTGAGGGTTGATTGCCTTCGTGCTGTAATCCCTCCAAGCTATCCCTGCCCGCTCCCAGCCGAAAGCTTCTCGGAAGCATCCACTCTTCGCCCACAAAAGCAAGCCGAGCCCCACATCCTCTCCTCGGTTCAGCCCAAGCCGTTCAACCCGAAGATGACACTGAGCACTGTCGTCACCATGCGGCTACCGGTGATGACGACGATGACGACAACAAGCCTCCAGCCACTAACCTCGCGCACTCGCGAACGGTGCCTCGCGAATGTTTTGCGTGCTTGTGATGCTCGGGGGATCCCTGTCCCTTTTTTTTCTTCTGGCTTGTGGGTTTTTATAAGGATTTGATGATGGCCTTCAGTGGTTTCAGGGCTTTCTCGACATCCGATGCTCTGAGGCGTTGAGAGACCCTTGGCTCACCAGCTCTGCGTCCGGCGCTTGGTGGGGGAATCGGTGGCGCCCGGACCAGCCTCGGCGATCTGTGTTCTTGTGCATTTTCGATCATGAGATCTAGGTCTAACATAGGGTTTAGGGTTTAGGACTTAGGGAGGTTTAACATTAGATGTCGTTTTAAAGGTATCCCCAGGAGAGGTCCGACGGTGTTTCTTGGGCTCGACTCGTCCCGCGCAGCGCAAAAGTAAAGAACAAGCCCGGAGCTGTCGAATCGCAGCTACTTGGAGGATCCTGGGACTTAGTAAGTAAGGGTTCAGGGTTTAGGGTTTAGGGACTTCGTAAGACCCTAGTTACCAAGTCCCATGATCCTCCAAGTAGGGCTATTGCAAAATACCCTTGCCGACATGACTGCCATGTTCCCACTTTGCCGCGGCTTCTTACTGTTCCTGTGTCATCATGTGCCTAGTTGTTATGAGCAGCATGTAGACGAAGTGATATCAGTCTGTGTCAACACAGAAGCACATAATATCGAGAAAAACACACATACACACATGTATATGTATGTATGTATGTATGTATGTATGTATGTATGTATGTATGCATGCATGCATGCATGCATGCATGCATGCATGCGTGCATGCAAGTACACACGTTAAGTTTGTGTCCATGAATGCCGTCTGTCTGTCTGTCTGTCTGTCTGTCTGTCTGTCTGTCTGTCTGTCTGTCTGTCTGTCTGTCTGTCTGTCTGTCTGTCTGTCTGTCTGTCTGTCGGTCCGCACCAACAGCCAAAAGCAACCCCCCCCATTTCCCCGCTCCCCCTCTCCTCGCCTCCCTGTCCCCGCTCCCTCCCTTTTGTCTGCCGGTGTGGAGAGTTCTTTTTGCCGTTGGCAGCAAGCTATGGCGAATTCCAATTTGCAGGTTCTTGCTTTTCAACGGCATTCCAATGAAGCAGGTTCCTGTTTTCTAGCAAGCTTTTGCGGGCAGGCAGGCAGGCAGGTACGTAAGTGCGTAGCCTTGCAGACGTGTGGGTGTGCAGGTGTGCAGGCATTTCGCTGTGTTAGTATGTGTGTATTGTGTACATGTGTGTATGTGCGATGTACATGCGCTTGTATGTTGATTTGAAGACGGTGGAAGGGTTCATCGGTATTTCTGTTTACAGTTTTTGATAGGGAGAGGGGGGCACGGCCCTAAACCCCAAACCCTAAACCAGAGGGTCGTGTTTTTTTTTCCAAGGAGCCTCCCCACCGCTTCGCTGTCCTCGGTCCGAGACCCAGAGGGGGTTTTCAGGTGCGGGTCTTCCGAGGCCCAGGTGCAACGGTGGTGTTTTGTTCGTGTTCAGCGTCCTCCGACAGCTTCGAAGCACAAAGCAATTTCCTTTTTTTGGGAGCTCGAGGGAACTCTCCCACCAAACACCGCAAGATCCCTGCTGACTCTTCTGCACCTGGAGTCTGGCTTTCCCTCCATGAGGCGGTCATGGAGAATCTTCGCAAGTACAGTGGACACCTCGGAGGAAACCTGCAGGAGTAGAAGATCGGGGCTTTCGGCAGTTTTTGCTTTCTTCAGGTGCTTGGGAACGCAGCGAAAGACGAGTGTTCCTAGAAGTCTTCATGAGAAGTCTTTGGGTCGTCGCCCTCTTCGTGAGCAAGACACCTTGCAAAGTGGAGACCAGGATGAGCCCCTCAAAGCCTTACTTGGAGGATCATGAGACTTGGGGCTTAGGGTTTAGGGTTTAGGGTTTAGGGTTTAGGGGTACTTGGAGGATCATGGGACTTAGTAACCAGGGTTACAAGTAAGGTAACTATAACTATAACCCCAATTAGGGTACTTATAACCTTACTTACTAAATCCCATGATCCTCCAAGTAATCTGCAACGTCGAGCGACAGCACCCCCCAAAAGCTTGGAGTGAGGTCTTAGCAGTTAAAGTTAACTGATGATATCGGGCCATGATCCGTCCAAAATCAGAGCCACCCCAAATGCGGTTTGGAAATGCCATGTTTTCGTCCCTATCTCGGATGCTTTTCGGCACCCAGAGCCCGAAAGCCGATCAGGGGACGCAGTAAGTAAGGTTATATGGTTATAAGGGTTTAGGGTTTAAGGCTATACGTAACTTAGCCAGGATTATAGTTCTCTTCTGGAACGCGAAGAAGCCTAGAACCCGCATTTGCAAGACCTGAACCTCGCAGATCCTGAGTGCCCTTAGCCTTAAGCCTTGTGTGATTTCTACTCTTTTTGTTGTTGTTCTTTGCTGTTCCGGCATGCCCCGACCACCATCACATGCTGAAAAACCACCCTTGAAAGGACCCTAAACCCTAAAACCCCCCCCAGTTCCAAGGTGTCGAGCACCGTTTCAAGAAGGCAGCGCTCCATGTTCTCGCCCGGCAGCAGGAGAGCTCCCGCTTTTTGCTTTCGCCTGGCTGGGCGCAGGCTGAGGAGGTTTAGGGTTTAGGGCTTAGGGGTTTGGGGGTTTAGGGTTTAGGGATTAGGGGTTTAGGGCTTAGGGTTTAGGGGTTTAGGGGATTAGGGCTTAGGGTTTGGGGGTT